TGCAGATTTCCACGAAGCATGCTGGCACTTCCCACATGTGGAGGAGCTCTACTTTGGGGGAGTACTTTGAATGCTTGGGTGTTGAGATTCGGCGGCAACGCATGAAGTACAACTTGACAGCTGATTCTCGTGGTGTGGTCCTGATGGACAAGGCTCCTCAACATGGTAACGCCACCTTCAAGAAGCTGCGTGAAAGATTTGAACAAACTCACAAGGTGATTTTTCTGCACGGCGGCAGCTATCAGTATGTTCCGGTGCCTGGAGGCCCAACATTTTAGACCAACATATTGTTGTATTCCTTGGCATGTCCAAAAGGATTAACCTGTGGCATGCATACATATATATATATATACATACATAGTAGACACAAGGGGTGCAGGGCCCTTTTAAGTGTGTAGGCCCCTTCTTTATATATATATATACAGTAGGTTAAATGTTCCAGTAGAGGCTATATTGCATATCAAACCTGCAAGTCACTGTCAGGCTTTGGTGCTTGCGGAGCACCAAATGACGGCTGGCACCAATTTTATCATCTTCTAAGACGGTCAGCCATGAAGCCTCAGGTTGGCATGGGTGACAACCAGCATCTTCGTAAAGCAATGGCCAAGATCTCCCTCTCAGTGGATGGGAGCCCGAGATTTGAGTCACTTTGAAAAGACAAAGCATTGTGGATCAGGATGATCTAAGACACGTATATATATATATATACAGTAAAAAGTTTTTCTGTTTTGAATTCCATTTAGTTTGCACTCAAACATCTCTGCGCAAGTAAGGTTATCACAAGAAGGCAGTATAAGAGCGGACGCATGGGCCCTACAGCAGCTGGCATCATATCAGAATGGGAAGCTCATTCTATGGGCCTGGATCAGCCGAGGGCTGACTTCCTTGGAGCAAGTTGCTGAGTGGTTCGACGATGGCAATTTGGATGATGCAAAAGACTTCATGAAGAGGACCAAGGGCTCGATGTTGGACCTGTGCCATTTGGATGCTGCGCCAGAAGTGGACACCGACAAGGACAGTGCTCTTGTTTCACTGGCCACGTCAAACACTTTGCAGGGGGGAGACTCATACCTGGTGGGCCATCACTGACCCAGAAGATTCACAGCCAACACCAGTGGCTTCGCCCTCTTGGTTCCAGCTACCTATTGATGAGGTTATTCTCACCTGGAAGCGCGAGCATGATGTGTAGGAGACTCGCAAAAGGCAAAGACTTGCATCTGGAAAGGAGAACCTCGCTCCAAAGATGCTTGCAGCTTACAATGGCTGGTTGGAGGAGCCGACCAGGACATTGGTTCTTGACAAGAAAAGGCAGGCTAAAGTTGCCAATGTGAAAGATAAGTCCCACACTCAGCTGCGCAAGACATGCCTAATGCTTGTGGTGCATCCTGCGCTAGACCCTAGCGATCTCTGGATTCAAGCCGGCGATGGAAAGAAATGGAACCTCCAGCTCTTGTCCGGTGATGCACTACCTCCAGCAGATCTACCGCCAGCTGTTGATCATTTTCCAGGCTTCCTTGTTGTGGGTGTGGGTGGGTTTGATGAGTTGGCTTTATATAATATATATGTATTTAGTTTTCATATGTTTTGAATATAGTGTTGCTTGTCACCACGGCTGTAGCCATATTCTAAGTGCATTGACTTGATAGCCTTTTTAAAAGGGAACCTAAAGGCGACATATCCCAATTTTCATATGCCGCTGCCTCCAGTCAGAAAGAGTTCTGGTCACCCACCCGTGCAGGTGAGGTGCCAGCTGAAATGCCGGTGGCCGATGGCTATCTTTCAGATGATGGTTCTGTTCCGGAGGAAGCTCATGCACAGCTGCCAAGCGTGGATTCAGACGGTGATGCTTTTGACCTTGACCCTACCCTTCACAGTGGGTGGATGTTTGTCCATGACTCGGACTCGGAGCCAGAGGTGGATGAAGCAACGCTTGGCACCTCAGATGAACACAAGCGGATCCGAGCCGTTGCAGACCGAGCTGAATATAGGGAACTCTCGGAGCTGGGATTGACTGTGCGGCCGGCGGGGTGCTCCATTGGAGTGCACCCCGGTGGCTTTGTGTGGCGTGCTTGTGCATCAGGCGGTGCTCATCACGGGCGATCATTCGGACCCAAGAGCGGTAGAAGTGCAAAGCAGGCGTTGCTTGCTGTCATTCAATGCACGCTTGTGGATCACACGAATGTGAATCCCAAGGACAGACTGGCGAAGAACCAGCTGTCCAAAGTGCGGGAGGCTATTGCTGCAGAGCCGCCGCATAAGAATTAGAGCAACCAGTAAATATGCATGAACCTTCATCTCCGGCGTCTTTGGGTGGGAAAAGATGCTGAGTTATGTGTGGTCGGTCATTGTACTTAGAATGTACATTCTAACTGTGCTGTCGTTAATGAAAATGCCATATTCTAACTGCAACCAAATGCTCCGGCCATATTCTATGTGCTGGTCGGCCACTATAGGAATTGGATAGTTTTTCAATCACCTGCAGTACATATAACTTGGAACATGCACCGTCACCATACCAACCTGAAGATGTATGTATAGATGGTGTGTGTGTCATATGAATACAACTAGGAAGCCAATAGGAAATCACAAAGGAAATCAGTAGGAATCAAGAATGGGAAATCAAGAGGAGTTTAAAAGGACATCAACAGCAATCACAGATATTTCCTTGGAAAACAACAGACGTTAGTATAACATCAGTCCATCACCTGCAGAACATAAAAAAGAACTATGTATGTATATCTATATATATTTTTTATCTATTTAACCGCCGTTGGCGTGTCATGTGCCGCCGGCCTCCACGTCTGAATGTTGCCGCATGTGTGTAGGGGAGCAACGCATCGTGAGCAAAAAACATGAGAAGGGGAGCTAGACTCAAGGCAGGGGAAGACACAAAGCAAAGAAACGGCAAGGGCTGGCCCTAGAGCAAGGCATAAATTGACTCCGGTGTAAACGGTGTAAACCTCGGTTTGGTGTAAAGGGTGGTTGGTGTAGTTGGTGTAAACCATGGTTTGGTGTAGACCATGTTTTGGTGTAAACGGTGGTTGGTGTAAGCCGTGGCTTGGTGTAAACGGTGGTGTGGTGTAAACGGTGGTTGGTGTAAAGAGTGGTTGGTGTAAACGGTGGCTTGGTGTAAGTGATGGTTGGTGTAAACCGTGGTTGGGTGTACATGGTGGTTGGTGCACACCGTGGGCAAAATGCTTTTAAAGCCATGGCAAAATACTGTGAAGCGCAGGCAAAACACAGGCAACGCGCGTGCAGAACGACGACGACGACGAAGGCAACAACGAAGACAACAGCAACTAACCAACCACCATGTAAAGCGGGGTCGTGGGGGGAGGGGGGATTCAAGTTAGTCGAACCAAAAATCCGCACAGGGGAGCAATCTAAACGATGAACAACTTTAGTATTAGACAAGACAAGTACAAGTACAAGCACACCCACAAGACACGCCTGCAGGCCGGCGGATTTACAGGGTGTATACACATAACCAGGAACCCAATAGGTTTTTAGAAAGCAAATTAATAGAAGTCAAAGACGCTTACAGTACTTGAAGCACTTGCAATAGGTAAAACCTGTCAGCTACCTGCAGAACATAAAACGTAGAACGTGCAACCTGAATATACATATATATATATGTTTTTGGTGTGTACGCATATATATCCAACTAAGAAATCAGTTTGAATACACAAGGAAAAGGACATCAGTACGAATCAGAAGGAATTTGAAGGGACATCCATAGGAATCACAAGGATGTCAATTCAACTCATTAGATTTCAAGAGGACTCTTAAAGGAGATCGATAGTAATGGAAGGGAACTTAAAAGGATATCAATAGGAATCAAAAGGAACTGTTTTCCTAGCATCCTGCGGACGTTCTAAGTTATGTATACTGCATGAGGCCTTGAAGGAACATGTACTCAGAACATCGTGGAACAAATTTAGCAGTGATGTTCTAAGTTCATGTGATGTTTTAAATAGCTGATGTTTTATATAGTGGTTTCTACTATGTTCTAAAATGGATGCTTTTAAGGAAACTTGTCCATGCTCTAAGTTTCACAGCGTCGCTGCTATATATTTCTGAAACTTGTTTCAAGTCGTTACTCTTCTGCAGACATACGTAGAAGCACAGAGGCCAAAAAAAAAATGGGATACATGTTAGCAGAGCCCCAACTAAAGAAAAGACACTAACTTAGAAACCACCGCTGCTTGACTACAGGCCGGCTTCCATGTTAGCGGTGCAAACTGTGCATTTCCATGGATTTCATTCTGCTTCCATGTTAGGCTTCTTTCCTACATTTTTTAGACCTTTCCCTAACATAGCAGCCAGACATATAGCTTTGCAGTGCCATGTATATAGGCCTTTTTTAGTCCCTGGCTTCCATGTATAAGAGCGGAAGTGTATATAAGGAACCCACGTCTCTTGGCGGCAATCTGTCCAATCTACCAGTTTGCTGTGATGTTCTGGCATGTTACAAAAAAGGGTGTGTTTTCTAATTTTATGGTCGTTTTATTTGCACGTTTCATTTTGTAAATGATTTTTGCTATAAATGCACAACGGCAGATTGCTGGGAGTAGTAAGGGGGATTGTTTTTGTTTGTTCTATTTATGCGTGTTTTTTTTTGCTTTGTTTTGGTACTACTCACCCAGACATGTTTCCTTTATTTGTGTTTTGGTTTTTCATTTTTTGAAATGATTGGCAGGGTTTGGCTTTATATACGTGGCGAACATAGGTGGTTTTCTCTTTTTTTCTATGTTTGTTTGGTATATTTAGTCATCTAGTAAATTATGTAATCGGCGATCAAATGCTCGCAAATACAGGCTCCACATAGCTCCACACGAGGTTTTGAAACAGTTATGTGGACACCAGATCAAGAACTAAGGTTAAGACTCCAGATGGACCCATCATGTGCTGCAATTGTTGTGTTAATGCTGAGAATATGTTTAGCCACCATGTAGGAAGATTAGCATGATTCTGCTAAATGCAGCAATATACTTGGCTCGTGCAGGTCTGAATGCCTCGCAACAGCTCCAGCAGGGACCCCTGGGGGTGGGTGTTGTCGGGCCAGAAATGGTGTGAGCCTTGATCACGAAAGGTAGCCCTTTAGGGGATACCTTGAGTTTGTCTTGCGAAGCAAGTGTTGGCGCGTCCGGGTCGAATAATTGATCGCTCAATTCAGACCACCCCCTCCCCCCCCCCCCCTTTTTCAATAAATTCCCCCCCCCCAGCCCCCCCCCCCGCCTCCCCCCCACTAAATTCAATTCTCTCCTGGAGAACGTCTTCGTGAGCCTCTCATGATTTCAGGATAGTTGAAACCCTCTTGAACACTCAGAAAGAGTGCATATGAAATTCTATTCACGAAAGGTGTTCCCCGAGGGGATACATACCTAGAGTTTGTTTTGTGAAGCACGTCAATTCTCTCCTGGGGAACGTCTTCGTGAGCCTCTTATGGTTTCAGGATAGTTCAAATCCTATGATGCTCCGATTCAATGCTCACCAATGATCTGAGTCATGGGGCAAGTTTGTTCCCGAAAGCATTGCGAAGGGTTCTTCCGGAAAATCTCTTGAACACTGACACATCTACACTTACACTTACACACTGACACTTCCACACTTGCACTTGAACACTGACATTTCTACACGTACAGTTGGACACTTACGCTTCCACACTTACACTTGAACACTGACACTTCTATACGTATCCCAGTGTAAGTGGAAGAGTGAAAGCATCCAACGGCAAGTATCCAAGTGCAAAAGTAAAACTTGCACGGGAGATGTCCTAATGAGTATGCAAGTGTGAGTATGGAAAACTTGCACGGGAGATGTCCTAATGAAAAACATTTCCCCATTTCATAAATTCTCTCTTAAAGGCGGAGGGTGGGACGAACAGCGTCAACCGAAAATGTAACCCTCTGCGGAGATCGTGCGTGTCGAGTGCGCGAAATGCAGGCGAGAGTGCGATTGGTCCGGTGTGCGCGCAACCCTCTGCGGAGATCGTGCGTGTCGAGTGCGC